CTGAAGTCATGCAAAATTTACTTTTTAAATAAGATTATTTCTATTTCTTGACAATCCTCTGAATGTGGTTCACACGATATATACAGCTTCCCACCAAATTCATAGTCATTCCTAACTACAGTAGTATGTTCCAGGTCAGTAATGTGTTCATAGAGAGATGCAAATTTATGAAGTGGATTAGGACAAAAAGTTTTAGGAAACCAGTTTGTTTCCTCTACAGGCAAAGGGAAAGGTTTTAGTCATCCGTAACCAAAACTTTAAAAATTCCACCCACATCACTCCCTCCTTTTCGCTTTGTATCCTTCTCCAGTGTAGTCAGCAATACCTGCATCAACTTTTTCCTTTTTTCCTGCATTTTTTTTTCCCAACCGTATTTGCCAGATTTTTTATTAACTGTGCCATTACTTACCGTGGACCATCAGCACATTCTGAGATGGTTGGAGCTCTTGTGATCTCCTCTGAAGGAGTTCTTCAGACTTGTGGAAATCCTCCTCCCGCTACTGAATCCGAGTGCTTTTGAGAGTGCCAGCAGCATTTGTTTGCTAAGAAACGCTCCCAGCTCTTTCAGCCACTCTCCTGAGGCTGGCCCAGTTCCAACCAGCCCGGATAAAGGCACCAGCTCTGGAGTGACTGGATTCAGCGTCTTATCTCCATGGAGACAGAAACGCCATAGCAGGAGTGGCAACAAACCCTCAGGGGAAAGAAAACACCTGGTGAGAAAACATTTTTCACCTCTTTAGCCCCGTTCTTCATTGTGTTTCCACTGGATGGCCTAAATCTTTTAGTCCTTCCTCCTCTCCTCCATTATTTCCAAATGTTCTGGCAGGATCCAAGGTAGCAACAGCAGTAGGGGAGTGCAGGACAGCAGAGGCAGAGGTAGCATCCCTAATGATGGTCACCACTATGCAGTTCAGAAACTCTTTGTGCTCCACAGGCATTAAATCATTTTGGCTTTATATTATTTTTCATCTTTCCCATGACCTACCTTCGCCTCCAGCCAAAGCTCAAGACTTCACAAAACCTGATTTTCAACATGCTGTTTGTGTGCTACATAGTTCCAGGTCTGCATCCAAATGAAAAACTCACAGATCAGTTGTAGGGTGACTTTTCATGCATCTAGCTAGCATGCCATATGATTAGGCTTTGGTGCTGATAGAAATAGAAATATTTCCCTCATTTTTACATGAGCACCCAGACTTTTGAAATTACATGCCTAAAATAATGCAGCAAATCAGTGTCAAAGCTCCAATGATGAACGACTTCTCCAGGCACCAAGCCTTTGTCACAGGGCATTCAGTAATTATCAGCTTTGTATAGATCTTTCATTCATAAATCTCTAAGCATCGGATAAGGCTATTTCATTATTTTTAACGAACAATATACTATTAAGATTTGTAAAACAATTACAAGTTTGATGGAACTCTCCATGTTTTTCTTGCATTTATAATGCCAAATCTGTAGGAGAAAACATAGAAGGAAAAGTGTTGCTTAAGGAGTTTTTTACAGCTTTTATCACTTACAAAGCTTTTAACCTAAATATAATAGTACCTCTTGTAGCTACAACAACGCTTTGAGAAGGAATAATTAGCAAAGCCAGTAATTAGCAAATGAATAGGCTTGCATAAATACTAAGCCTAAGTTCCTTGCTTTTATGTTTTATATCCTCTGGACTTCCAGAGGAACCCTACCAGCTTGTCACAGTGTTGTTGGCCACCCAAACATTGGGTACCATTTAAATATGCTGAATATCACAAAGAGAAGTGGTCATGATGACATTTTGTCTCACGTTTGTGTGAGATGGGGGCTCCATGGCTCAGAATGAGAGAGAGGCAGGGATGGCCAACCCCGCAAGTGATCCAGAGACAGGAAAAAAAGATCTGACAAAAGCCCTGGAGGAACTCTGTTAAGAGCCCCAGAGAGGAGAGTCAGAAAGTTCTGCTCCACTCATGACCCAAACAGCAGCATCACCTCAGAGCTGGAGAAACTGAAGAGAGGATACTGCAAAAATGAGAACCCAACAGATTCAGCATTTGCAGGAGTGCTACATGGATTGGGCCAACAACCATGAAAAAATGATCCAGTTCAAGGATGAACATGGGAAACAACATACACAGACGTGGGAGGAGAGTAGTGCCTATGGCAGGAGAACGAGACGTGCGTTAGCTAAAGTGCTCCAGCTTGCTACCCAGCCCAGAAAAGTCTCACAGCAGCTGGACTCCTTACAGAAGAAATGTGCTTTTAGGAGTCACAGAGCCCAGGAGAGAGAAAAAGAGCTGCTAGAACCTCAGAGCCAGCAAATGCCTGTGCCTGGCACGTTGATTCACTAAAAACCCAGCTACAACACCTACAGGAGAAGGACCAACAAACTGTTGCACAGGTTGAATGTGCAGAAAGTCAGCAGAGGGCTCAGGGCAGCAAGCTGCAGGACAAGCTGGAGAGGGCCAAGAGGGAGAAAGAGCAACTACTGAACCTGGCCACAAAGAGGGGTAAAGCTCTGCAAGATGAACAACAGGAAATTCAGCAGCTGGGGAAGAAGAGGGAGACTGTGCAAAAAGACGGTGACAGAGCACTGGAACAGGCTGCCCAGAGAGGTTGTGGAGTCTCCTTCACTGGAGACATTCAAACCCCACCTGGACACGTTCCTGTGTGATGTGCTCTGGGTGACCCTGCTCTGGCAGGGGGCTTGGACTAGATGATCCTTTGAGGTCCCTTCCAACCACTAAGATTATGTGATACAGAGACATCCCACTCTCTCTGGCCTCTCTGCTAACCAATAAGGTAGTTTTTTGGCTTTTAAGTTTCAGCTTCTGCTCTTCAACTCTCTCATGATGGGAGATGCCACATGGCATCTCTGACCGTAGGCAGCTGCCTTGAGAGCTCTCCAAGCTCTTTCCCACGCATGTATAACTTGAGGTAGCTCAACACTTTAGCTAGTTATTCAGTTCGTTCTTGCTTCTGAGCATCTACAAAGCAGTAGCACTGCATCAGTCTTGGCATCTGTTGAGCCACATGTCCAGAAGTGCACAGAAATGGCCAAAAGATCCTGCAGCTCGCAAGCAGTTTATCTCAAGGACTTAATGAACGAGATGTCACTTCTCAGTAAGTAGTAGATATCAAATTAATAATTAATATTAATCTGCAGTGCAAACGCTACCTGACCCAGGCTACAAACTAGGCCTGCAATCTGAGAGGAAGGAACACAGTAGGACTTGAGTTGGCTGCTCCATTTTAATTAGTTGAAATGCAGCCAGAGTGGTGCCCATTCCCCTGCAGTGACTGCAAGAGCACCTAGACACAGGCACATAAACAGTGCCAGTGTGGGCAGGGGACACGCACTGGCTGTGCTCAGCCCCACACGCCTCAGGCCCAGGCCCTGCTGCGGCCTGGCGGGAGAGCCCACGGACCCGCAGAGCCCAGGGCACAGGCCGCTGCCCTCCCCTCGCCCGGCCTGCGGGTGCCGGTCTCTCCTCACAAGTAACTGCAGGTAGAACAAGAGGAAACGGCCTCAAGCCGCGCCAGGGGAGGTTTAGACGAAGAACTTTCTCACTGAAAGGGCTGTCAGACCTTGGAAAGCGCTTGAGTCACCATCCCTGGATGTGTTGACCAGACGTGGCGCTTGGAGGGGGGGGGCGGCAGAGCGGGGTGTGAACGGGTGGGACCGATGATCTGGGAGGCCTTTTCCAAGCGGGGTGACCCTGCTCCCCCCCCTCACACAGACAGACAGACAGACACCCCCCCCTCA